TCGTCCGCGCGGTCGTTCGCCTCGCGCGTCGTCTCGATGACGTGCCTCTCCTTCTTGAGCGCGCTCTTCTGGTTGTGGCCGATCCAGTACTCGGCCTCCTCGCGCTCCGTCGCGTTCGACTCGTTGTCGACGAACTTCATGCCCTCGGGCAGCTCGTTCTCCATGTCGCGCACGCTGGGCTTCTTCGTGACCTCCGGGTGCGAGTCCCACTTGCTGTGGACGGCGTCGCGCGCCTTGCGCCGCGCGAGGTCCTCGTCCGTCGCCGACGCCGCGCCGTAGTCGTCGAGGATCGGCGCCATGGCTTCGGCGGCGCGGCCGACGGAAGCGGTGGCGCTGGCGGCAGCTCACGGAGCTCGGTCGCTTCGGAGCGCCTCGCAGCTCGTCCACTCGAGGCGCCGCTCGAAGCGTCCAGAACCCACCGAGCGCACACGCCGTCCGCACGCCGCCCCCGGGCCCGGCGCGCCGCCCCGGGACCTTAGAGCTCTCGCGCGCCTCAGAGCGGCAGGAGCTTCCAGCGCGCGCGGTCCGCGGACAGGAGCGGCAGGTGGCGGACCTCGACGTCGCCCTCGGGCGCGTCGAAGTCGATGGTGACGGACTCGGACGCCGGCGTCGCCTTGACCGTGCCCGACGCCCAGCCGAGGTCCTCGCTCCACCAGTAGGACACGCGGCGGCCCGGCCGGAGCGCCGCGAAGGCGAGGGGCGCGTCGCTCGGCGCGGGCCGCGGCGGCCGCTTTCCCGCCGCCGCGGCCATGAGGCTCGCGATGGCCGCGAGCTCCTTGTAGAGCGGGCCCGCGTGGCGCGCGACGGCCGCGTAGCGCCGCGCCGCGGACCGGCTGCGGACGCAGTTGCTCGCGACGCCGTCCGGCGCGTCGACGAGCGCGAGCATGGCGAAGGAGAAGCGCCGCTCGCGCCTCTCCCGGTCCGCGGCGGCCGCCGCGCCGTCGAGGAACGCGTCCTCGTCGAGGCACGCCGCGCGCGCCTCTTCGAGCCGGTCGAGCATCCGCCGGTACTCGCCCTCGGGCAGGGGCTCGCCGAGGCCGTCGACGGCCCCGAGGGCGCCGTCGATGCGGTCGCAGAGCTCGAGCGTGCGCTTGAGCACGCCGAAGCACTTCTCCCGCTCGTCCTCCACGGATCCCAAACCGTCGACGACGTCGTAGGGCGCCAGCGGGTCGTCCTCGCGCGGCGCCTCGTCGTCGGCGCAGGGCCCGCACTCGACGGCCGTATAGGGGAACTCCTTGGCCGTGCGCCCGATGGCGACGCGCGCGTCCAGGTCCTCGCAGCCCGCGACGACGGCCGCCGCGGACCCGTCGTCCGCGACCTCGGCGAGCGCGACGTCGCAGACGACGCCCGTGCCGTCGTCGAGGAGCCGCACGCAGGCGCCGTACTTCTTCAGGTCGCCGACGAAGGCGACCTGCGCCGCGCCGGAGAGGGCGTAGCGCAGGCGCCGCCTGGGCAGCAAAAGGGTGCGAAATTCCCAACTTCAAAGGCTCCTATCTCGGCCGATTCCCACTCGTTTCGGCTGATTCTTGGACGAGCGATCATCTCTCGGAACGCTCTCGAGGCGTGGGTGCTGTTTCCGAAACGCGCGCGCGCGGAACACTCACGTTGAAGCGACGTTGAATCACCCTTTTGCTGCCCTGGGCGCCGCTTGAGGCCGGGCACGGGCATGAGCGCCGGCGCGCCGCCCTCGGGCCGCAGCACGGGCAGGATGCGCTTCCGCGCCGACGCGGCGCTGCCCCGGTTCGCGAAGCGGCTCGGCGCGCTCCGCAGCGCGCCGACGCCCGCCACCGCGAGGAGCAGCGCGCGCAGCTTTGGGAGGCCTGCCATGCGCTGGCTGATTTAATTTGCGCCGGAATTGCCACAGGGATGAAGCGGATGTTTACTCTATGTTGAAAAGCGCGGTCGACAGCCGCCGTCGGCGCCGAGGACCGCGCCGCGGCGCGCGCTCTGGAGGCGATCGCGGGCGCGGAAATTTATCGCAGCTCCAGCATGGACGACGGATTCCAGGCAGCCTGTGAATATGCGCAGAATGGAGACATTCAGCAGATGAAAGCATGGTTGTTGAGAGGCGGCGACGCTAATCAAGTCGACAGCCGCAACTCATCTCTGGGCCATTACGCTCTCGCTGGATGCCGAAGCGATGACAGGTCAGACGTGATTCGATTTCTCGCGTCGCACGGCATGGACGTGAACGGCCGCGACGTCTACCGACAAAGCCTCCTGCACAGCTGCCAGTTTCCGGAAGAGGCCGCCGCGCTCATTGAGTTAGGCACCGATGTCAACGCAACGGATATGCGTGGAGATACGCCCCTAGTCTTTTACATCGCGGTGCCGCATCACGGCCTGGAGTTAATCCGCCTCCTGCTCCGTCACGGCTGCGACGCGGCGGCGGTGAACGAGCGTGGTGAGGATGTGGCAGGGTGCGCTCGAGAGTTTTACGATGCCAACAAACTCGAAGCCGATGATCCCGATTTCGTCGAGGACGCATTGAGCATGTTGGCGACTGCCACCTTTCTTGAGGACGTCAAAGCCGCGGGCGGTTGGAAGGCCTACCTAAGAGCTCCCCGTGTCCAGCTCGTGCGCCTTCGGTCGCTCTGTGATCGCGGCCGCGCGGCGCCGCCCTCCGTCGCATCCGGCAAGCTCCAACGGCTGCGGAACCTCAGCGCCGCGGAGGTCGCCGTTTTCGCTCGCCTCTTCGGCGCCCCGCCGCCGCGGACGCCGCGCGCATCGAGCGGCCGGCTGCCGAACGAGATCTTCTGGCACATCCTCGCGTTCTGGCGCACGGATCGCGACTAACACGGAGATGCACAAAAGGGGGTCGTTAGGGGAGCGGGCGCGCCGGGGTGGTCCCCGGCGCGCGCGCGGGGAAAACGGGGCCCGGCGGCTCAGACGGCGCCGACGCCGGGCTGCGTCGTGACCGCGGAGTAGCCGTCGCCGCGGAACTCGCCCGGCGCCGGGTTCGCGCCGAGGCAGCAGCAGCAACTCGTCTGGCAGCAGCCCTTGTAGGAGCAGCAGTCGAAGTCCTTCTTCAGCACGTGCTTGACGTAGACGGCCTCCTGGTAGAGCGCGGACGCGCCGCACCAGTAGTGGACGCAGCAGGGCGAGCAGCACTGGCGCCGGAGGCCGTGGTTCCGCTCGAGCGTCGCGCGGGTCTTGGACGTGAGGATGGGCTCGAGGCGGGCCCAGGACGCGGACTGGTGGAGCACCGTGGCCAGGGCGCCCTGGAGGAGCGACGACGCGCAGGACCAGGCCGCGAGCGCCCAGTAGTTCGTCGCGCAGCGCGGCGTCGTGCAGCACAGGCAGGGGCCGCAGAGCTCGGGGTTGCCGTCGACGCCCGAGACGTCGAGGCGCTCCGCGAGCTCGGCCCAGAGGCAGGGCGTGCACCACGTCGCGTAGCAGCACAGCGGCAGGTCCGCGGCGCAGCCGCAGTTGTCAAAGCAGCAGAGAGCCGCGGGCCAGTCCTTGTCCCCGACGAGGGGCGTCGAGAAGCCCGTGACGACGCCCTGGACGACGACGACGTTGCCCGTGGGGGCCGGGGCGCTGTCGACGACTTTGGACGTCGCCATGGGGGCGCAAGGGGCCGGTCTTCCTGTCGCGGGCGCGCCGGGTCGGGCGGGGAGGCGCACGGGGCGGCGGCTTCGGCGCGAGCTCTTCGGCACCGGCGCGGCAATGCCGGGCGCTGCTCGATCGATGGTGCCGTGGACGGTGCCGTCGGTGCCGCTCTGGTTGACGATAGTGATCGCTTGCGCCGCCATACTCGTCGTCGCGACAACGCCCCCGTAAATATGATCTACGACACCGCACCGGCCGGCGTCCCCCGCATCGGCGCGCGCGCGCGCGCAAGCCGAAACCGCCGCCCGCTCGCTCACGAGACCGCCCGCAGGCCTCGCCCTACTTTAGCTCGTTTTTGAGCAGCGGCAAGCACAAGCCGACGTCCGAGGAGGTCATCGACGCGCTCGCCGACATCAAGAAGAAGTTCCCGAAGCAGTCGCCCGAGGAGATGGCCGCGAACCTGAGAATGAAGCGCGTACCGCCGCGTCCGCCGGGAGTACGGCGCCGAGAGCGCTCGCGTCGCCGCGAGAGGAGGCCGCCGCGCGGCGCCGCCGCCAGAGGGCGCCGCCGCGCCGCGCTCGCCGCGCGAGGACGCCGCCGCGCGCCGCGCGCCGCGCCGCGCCGCCACGAGCGACGCGCCGCAGGTATCCGCAGTGGGTCCTCGAGGGCTTGAACTGGGCCGAGCTCTCGGAAAAGATGGGCGACGACGACTAGGCGCCGGCCCGCGCGCTCCTCCCGGGAGAGGACAAGTAGAACTAACACCGATTCGCGACGACCTCGAGCGGGGCCCGCGGCCGCGCGGGACGCCGCCTCCGCGCGCAGCGGCGCTCCGGGGCGGCGCACGGCGGGCCGCCCGGGAACGCGCAAAAGAAATGCGCCGTCGGTTCTGCTCGAGGCCGCCGGGCCGCTCGAGCGAGAGCGGAGGCCGGCTCTCGAAATCCGTTGATTCGCCGTTGAAGCTCAAAGTAATTTGTTTCGCTCCGACTGAGCCGATGGGCTGCCATCCTGAGAGGGAAAAGGGCGACCTGGGCGCGCCGTGATGGGCTCGAGGACGGATGGGCTCGGCGGACGGATGGGCTCGCAGCGCCGCCTGACGGATGGGCTCGAGGACGGCGCGTACCGCGCCGCGGCGGCGCTGCGCGGCGCCGCCGACGACGCCGCCGACGCCCTCGCGCACGAGCGCGACCGCGCGGCGGCGGTGCTCGCCGCCGCCGCCGACGTCGCGCGGAGCAGCCTGCCGGGCTTCGGCGGCGACTCGCCGCCGTTCGGCCGCGACGCGCGGCGGCGGCGCACGTCCGTCCGCGCGGCCGCGTTGGGCACCGAGCAGGAAAAGGGTGATTCAACGTCGCTTCAACGTGAGTGTTCCGCGCGCGATTGTTCCAGAGAAAGCATCCACGCGTCGAGAGCGCTCCGAGAGATGATCGCTCGTCCAAAAATTAGCCGAAACGAGTGGAAAACGACCGAGATATGAGCCTCCAAGGTTGGAAATTTCGAACTCTTTTCCTGCCCAGGCTCGGCACCGAGCTGCTCCCCGCGGACACGCTCCTCCGCGCGGAGAAGCTCGCGGCCATGGTCAGCGGCTCCGGCGAGGCGCCGCGCATGGACCCGCGCCACAGCGCCGACGGCGCGCGGCTCCTCGCGCGGACCATCGCGCGCGAGGTGGCCTACGACCGCGCCGTGCGCCGCGAGTACTGCAACCTCGGCATCTTCGTCGTCTACGTCGTCACGCTCCTGACGATGATCACGCTCCAGCGCGGCGTCGCGTCCGGGTCCGGGCGGCTCCAGGCCCTCGCCGCGCGGCGCACGTGGCTCGGCCTCAGCCTCGGCGTCACCGCGGACGAGTCGCGCGTCACGAACGAATTGGTGAACGTCACGGGCGTGCTCGCGCACGTGCGGCGCAACGTCGAGACCATCTTCGGCCGCTCGACCTGCGGCAACGGCGTCTGCGAGGCGCCCGACGAGCACCCCTTCTGGCGCGCGGCGGCCGACGCGCGCCACTTCGAGGGCGGCTGCACCTTCGACTGCGGCGCGATCGCGACGGTCGAGGTCGGCGTGACCTTCTTCGACGCGCACAAGTACCGCAGCGCCGCGCAGCTCGTCCGGGCCCTCGCCTACCAGGACAAGGTCCGGGGCTTCACGCCGCTCCAGTGGGGCGCCGTCGACGAGCGGAACCAGCTCCTGCGGACGCCCGCGGCGGGCTGGAACGTCTGCAGCCGGACCGACGCCCTCGCGGGCCACTTCGAGAAGGTCTGCGTCTTCGACGGCGACGTCTTCATCGACGGGCTGCCCTACCGGACCCTCGAGCTCGACGTCGACGACGCCGCGCACTTCGCGGCGAAGAAGACCGCGTCGCTCTACGCGGGCGACTGGGAGCTCGTCTACGCCTTCGCGAACTTTAGCTGGGTCCACCCGGAGACGGGCGAGGACGTGGTGCTCGCGCACCCGGCGCTCCGGGGCGAGCTCTGCGTCGGCGGCGCGTGCGAGCTCTGGGCCGCGTGCCCGAACGCGCCGTCCTGCGGCTGCCAGTTCGAGGACGGCGACTACGTCTGCTACGACCGCGACTACTGGAAGGGCTTCGACGCGGCGACGATGCGCCACGACGCCGCGGACGCGGCCGGCCGCGACGAGTTCGACGGCGCCTACGCGGCGTACCGGGGCTTCGAGGCCGTCGCGGCCTGGTGGGACGTGCCGCGGTCGCCCCTCGACGACGGCTCGACGGCGCGGTCCTGGCGGCCGAGCAGGTTCGCGCGCAACGGCCAGCACCTGTGTGCAAATCAACCAGTGAGCTGGGACGTCGGGGCCAAACTTGAGAATTCTCTAGCTCGGTCAAATCGAAGTCGATTCGGCTGATTTTTGGACGGATCGATTGCTCTCGTCGAGTTCTCGAAGCACAGCGAAAGTGCTCGTGTCAAAACATTCGCATACGCGCACATTGAAGTCGGGTTGAAGATTTGATTTGCACACAGGCCAGCACTGGTCGGGCGACTGCGCGGTCCACGATTTGCTGCTGGTGCCCGGCGCGGGCTTCCTCGGCTGGGCGGCGGACGTGCTGGAGGTCTGGGTGTCGAACGCGACGGCGACCGACGGCCAGGCGGCGCTCCGCGACGGCCGCGCGCACCTCGCCTACGTCTTCGAATTGGACGAGGGGCCCTGCGCGGAGCGGAAGGTCTTCCTCTGCGCGGACAAGCGCTACACCTTCGGCTTCCGGTCCGCGGGCGACGGCGCGCGCCGCGACACGACCCTGCTGAACTACGAGCTCTATTTCGAGGGCGAGCTGCGACTGCGCGGCGCGGGGCCCGCGGCCGTCGAGGCCGGCGACTGCGGCGCCCTCGCGACGGACAAAGACGGCCGCTGCGTGGACCACAACGCGAGCTTCTGCGCCTACGGGAGCGACGTCGACGCGCCCGCCTTCTGCGACCCGGCCCGCGAGGCCTACGACGCGTCCCTGGCCTACGCGCGCGACCCCTACGGACCAAAAGCTCTGGACCGGTGCGCGCCGACGCGGACGTGCGCGGACTACGTCGCGACCTACGGCTACGAGCTGCGGGACTGCGGCGCCGCCAACGCCTCGAGCCCGTCGGCGGCGCCGACGGCCGCGCCGACGGCGGGCGGCGGCGACGCGTACGTCGCATCGGATCCCATCGCCGCGTGCGACTTCTCCGACGGTTTGTGCGCGGGCTGGACCGGCGACGGCCTCGACGTCGCGACGGGCACCTTCTTCGGCGCCCGGGGCCCGAACCGGAACGGCGCATATTCCAAGGCGCCGGGCGACGCCTTCGCGGCCGTCAACGGCGCCGCGACGCCGAACGCGACCGCGACGCTCGAGTCGCCGGAATTTTCCCTCAACGGCAGCGCCTACGTGTCGTTCCTCTACAGCGCCTACGGCGACATCGCGCGCACCGTCGAGGCCTTCTACCTCGACGGCGGCGGGTGGACGCGGTGCTTCCGCGCGGAGTGGGATCAGGGCGCGCCGTGGCGTACCGCGTTCGCGGCGCTGCCGGCGACGGCGACGAAGGTCCGCGTCGCCCTCGCGGCGAGCGCCTGGGGCAACGTCGTCGCACTCGACGACGTCGTCGTGGGGCGCGCCTTCGCCGCGGCCGTTTCGGCGAACGCGACGAACGCGACGGTGCGCTGCTACGGCGACTGGGCCATCGACGCGGCAACGGGCGGCGCGGCGGCGCTGGACCACGCCGCGGCGCCGCCGGGCGACGTGGTCCGCTGCGCGGCGAACGAGACGGGCTGCTTCCGCTTCGAGTACGCGTGGCCGGCGGCGTCGCTCGCCGTGTATTTCGGCGACGGCGACGCCTTCGAGCTGAACCCCCCGGGCCACCCGGAGACGTACAAGGCCTTCGCGGGCTGTTTAGGCGACCTCGCCGGCGCCCTCGAGGCGTCGGAGGCGCTCGGCGGCGCCAACTTGTTGAGCCACGGGGGCGACGGCGCGTCCTCGTGCGACGCGCCTTTTCACTTCGGGGACGCGCACGCGGGCGTCCGCGGCCTCTACAGCCGCCTCGGCGCCTGCGCGGCCTGTGTGGGCGACCTCTGCAACGGGCCGGACCTCGAGGCGGACCCGCCCTGGTACCGCAACGGCTTCTCCGTCGCGTCCGTCGCCTTGGCGTCGAGCCTCGATTTAGCCAAGGACTCGTCGAGCTCCTCGCTTCCCGGCGGGTCCGTCGCGCGCCTCCCCCTGGGCGTGACGACTTGCGACTTACGGCTTCTGCGACGTGGACCTCCACTCGCTCGGCTGCGCGTACGACGGCGGCGACTGCTGCGGCGATCCAAACTTTGGGTGCGCGGCGCCGTGGTACGCGGCGGACCCGGCCGACGCCTGGCGCTACGCCGTGAAGACGACCGTGCCCGTCATGAGCGGCTGCTCCGCGGCCTTAGCCGAGGTCCGCGCGGCCGTCATGAGCGCGGGCATCCAGATCGACGAGGCCGCGGTCGCCGCCGTCGCGGAGGTCCAAATCCAGGCGACCGTGCCCTTCGCGCTCTACTTCGCGGCGCTCGACCGGCTGCGCCTCGAGGTCGCGGGGGACCCGAACACGGTGCCGAACGCGACGGCCTTCTACGGCGCCGACGTCGAGCGCCTCGTGCCGTCGCTCGCGTGCCCCGAATGCGCGGAGCCGTCGTTCACGCGGCGCATCCCCTTCACGGTGACGGACGAGGCGGCGCTGACGACCAGCAACAACGGTGGGGGCTGGAACCCCGAGGGCAACGTCATGTTCCCGCACCTGGAAGACGGCGAGTTCCGCGTGCGGACCTTCGCGGAGCCCGCGATCGTGCAGCACGGCCTCGTCGTCCAGCAGACGCGCATCGAGATGGCGACGTGCCCGCGGCGCGTGTCCCCGAGCCACGCCATGCGCGACCCGCTGGAGAACCGGTGCGCGGACTACGGCGCGGGCGACAGCGACCGGAGCCCCTTCGGCAACGACCCGACGTTTAACGTCGACAGTTTCCTCTACCGCGGTACGAACGACGTCCACGACTACTACTCGCCCGAGATCCAGGGCCGCCTCCGGGACACGGGCCTGCCCTACGGCTTCTTCTACGACGGCGGCGCCGGCGACGACCGCGTCGACGACTTCCCCGTCGTCTTCGACACGATCATCAACGCGTCGCGCGCCGAGGAGCTCCTGGCGACGCTCATCGAGGGCGCCTACGTCGACGCGGCGACGGGGTCCGTCACCCTGCGGCTCCTCACCTACAACGGCGAGACCGACGCATACACGAAGCTCCGGACCGTGTTCACGCGCGAGCCCTCGGGCCTCTTCTCCGCGGCGCACGACGTCTCCGTGCTCCGCGTCGACTACTACGCGAACACGCCGGAGCACGTCTTCCGCGGCGTCGTCGAGGGGCTCTTCGTAGTGGCGCTGCTCGCGCTGCTCGGCCGCGAGCTCGTCGAGGTCCGCGCGGCGTACGCGGCGACGGGGTCCGTGCGGGCCTACGCGGCCGACGCGTCCAACGCCATCGACCTGGGCGGCTACGTCGTGCAGATTTTGATGATCCCCGCGTGGGTCCGCGCGAACATCGTCTGCTTCAACCTGGACATCGAGCTCAAGTACGACACGCACGACGCGGACGCCGTGGGGCGCATCTCGCGGTCGCTCGCGGCGACGGCGGATTTGCTCGACTTCTTCACGGACCTCGACCGCGTCGAGCTGCTCTTCGGCGACTACGACTCCGTGTGCACGCTCGCGATCATCGCGCTGAGCATCCAGCTGCTGAAGAACGTGCAATTCCACCCGACCTTCGGCATGATCTCGCGGACCATCCGCGCGGTCGCGGGCATCTTGTGGTTCTGGCTCTGCATGCTCGTCCTCATGCTCCTGCTCTACACGTTCATCGGGACGCTGTTGCTGGGGCAGACGCTGCCGGGCTTCGCGGACATCCCGTCCACGGGCGTGACGCTCCTCGCGGCCATGAGCGGTTTGTACGAGTACGACCGCATCGACGTGGGCTTCTACGAGCAGATCTACTTCTGGACCTGGATGCTCCTCGCGT